TTGAAATTCTAATAAAATCGTCGTATTTTTTATAGTTTTGTTTATTATGCTCCTCAGAGTCTTGTACCGAAGGAAACGGATCTGTCTACGCCAGCTATTGGTAATCCAACACAACAATCACAGCCTAGACAATGTTATCCCTCGCAACTGCCTCAGACCTTTCCAACACAGGAAACATATCCACCTGTTTGTCCAACACATCCCCAAGTAATAATATTTTGAAGAGTGGGGTTTTTGGAAAAGAAATTAAAAATTTTTCTTTTTGTAAAAAGTCAAATGTGGGGCATCATTAACAATAACTGTCAAAAACTTTTTGCTTATAAAAAAGAAAAAAAGGAAAATTTGAATACAAATTATTACTTATTTTTAAGTTATATATTTAGAGTACTCTTCCTGTTTGGACAACATCGAATATTCCTGGACCATCTCACACATCAACACTTCCGAGTTTTTGTCCACCCACTTTGCAGCCAAAGAATTTTTCTGTTAGCCAGACATCTACAGGACCTATTCGTGCAGCAATACCTCCAGCTTCCGTTATTCCTCTTCAAAATATTCCTCTTCCACCCAATCCTCCATCAACTTCACAGGCTATTAATTTTGGTCAGACCGAGAATGGTAATTAAAAATTACATAAAATAAAATTGTTATTATCAATTTATCAAAACTTTCATTTTAATAAGAATTTTCCTCCCCTACAGCGTTAAGAATTTTAAAAAAGATATGTTTACGTCGATGAGATGCTATTTTAAAAATTATTCAACGGGTTATAAGGCAAATATATTTTATGTATATTATTTGATACAAGGGTTATTCCCTCTCCCATTAAATCGTGGGATTTGAGGCTTTTATTTGTAAACCTGTTAAAACTCGCTCCCGAACGATCTCCAAAAATATTTCATCAAAATTTTTGAGGGTCAAATAAAGGAGGAATCTAAGATCCACTTATTCTGTTTTCCACAGTGGCCAATCAAAATGAAAAAAAGTATTAAAAAGTGGGGGTCAACCCTGAAGACCTACACCCCCAAGACCTACACCCTGAAGACCTACTGACCCTGAAGACCTACACCCCCAAGACCTACACCCTGAAGACCTACACCCCCAAGACCTACACCCTGAAGACCTACACCCTGAAGACCTACTGACCCTGAAGACCTACACCCCCAAGACCTACACCCTGAAGACCTACACCCCCAAGACCTACACCCTGAAGACCTACACCCTGAAGACCTACAACTTTTTGATCAACTCAAATTATTTATTTTTTTATTTACAAGTTTAATTGGAGATCCTCTTCATCCCGATAAATCCCTCTATCTATTTTAATACTCAAAATCCTCGCTATCCCCCTTAATCCCTCTTTATCCCCTTTAAAACCTTCAAATCCATCGATATCCCCCTTAATCCCTCCTAGTTCCCCTTTACCTCCTTTAAATCCCCGATTAGACTTGTAAAGAAGTAAAAAGTAAAAAATTGTGTTGATCAAAAAGTTGTAGGTCTTCAGGGTAAATAGGTCTCAGGGTGTAGGTCTTCAGGGTCAGTAGGTCTTGGGGGTGTAGGTCTTCAGGGGTGGACTCAAAAAGAGTTATCTAAAATTAGGGTTATTCCAAAAATATTAATTTGCCCAAATCCAAATTTTAAAATTTGCAGTCCCTGCTGGAAACATTAAGCAAATTTTATGCTCTAAATGTGGAGAATACATTTACGACACTTATTATAGAAAGCATTTTCCGAAATGTCAAGGAGGCCATGCAAGAAAGATGAGAAAATAAATATGATTTTTGACGCTACAAGTTATTTTTAAAATTCTACTTGCTTTTGTAAAATTGAGGATTTTAAAGATTTAATTTATAGATTTTAAAGAAAATAAATTTTTAAATTTTTTAAAAATACTTTCAACATTAGCACTTAATTTTAACATTTTTCTTTATCTTTCATACCAAAAATTTTACGGTAGCCATTATTTACATTAGAACATTTATATCCTTTTTCAAAATTAATCTCGAGTTGAAGTGAATAAGTTAAAATTAGGTAATAAGTATATTGTTATAATTCAAATTAAAAATTTGTATTTTCGGTCGTCTTCAAGTTATACCTTTTTTGATTTTTTTAAAATCAGCTCTCAATCTATATATTTAAATAGGTATATCATATCTCCATTATATTAAATATTTTAATAAAAAATCAAGTCAAATTCATCGCCAATTGATTTAAAGAATTATTCCCTTCAATTAATCCATAAGAGATCGCTCGTTAAAATTATAAGAATCTTTAAGGTATAAGAATTATAAGAATATAATTTTAATAATAATTAAAAGAATCTTCATTATCCCTGCCTGCTTTTTGAGGACAAAATTCTCTTTAATTCTCACCATATGCCATTGTTAACCAATCAAACATTTAAAACTTACAGGGCCACTAGTCCAAATAAAACTTCGACCGTGAAAATATCTTAAAGGAAAAAATTGTTAATGGGGATATCTACTTAATCCTTAGCTGGGATATCTCCTTAATCCCTTCAAATCTCCAGATATTAACTAATTTTTCTAGCAAAATCTATATCAAAAAATTTTTTTACATTTCTAAACTAGCTGTGGGTTTGACCACTGATGGCGGCGGATAGCTGGGTGCCTATTAGGATACTTTGGATTGAAATTTTATTCTGGCCGTGGGAAAGCCTATCGGCTTTGGGGCGCGCTTCGCGCGCAGCTAGAGATTTTAAATGCCATGTTAAAATTTTCTAAAATTTTTATATCTAATTTTTAAGTTAAGTATTTAAATATTTATTTAATTTTATATTTAACTTTCTAAAAAATTTTAATTTACTATATTCTAAAAAATTTTTGTTTTTTATTTAAAAAATTTTAACTCCCGTTTGTACCGTGCTTAGCCATAGTTTTACAAAAGTAAAACAATGCCCAGAGTACACCACGTGGAGGTGCACGGTGGTAAACGGGCAAACCCTGTACTCCTGGGGAGGGGGGACGGAGAAGAGGTTGGATAGTAGCATGTGTGGACATTGGCTTTATTTTATATTTAAAAGTAATTTACAACCTTTAACATGAAAGGAAAGGGAATTACAACCCTTAACACGAAAGGGAGGGGAATTACAACCCTTAACACGAAAGGGAGGGGAATTACAACCCTTAACACGAAAGGGAGGGGAATTACAACCCTTAACACGAAAGGGAGGGGGATTACAACCCTTAACACGAAAGGGAGTGGAGGAGTTACAACCCTTAACACGAAAGGGAGGGGAATTACAACCCTTAACACGAAAGGGAGGGGAATTACAACCCTTAACACGAAAGGGAGGGGAATTACAACCCTTAACACGAAAGGGAGGGGGATTACAACCCTTAACACGAAAGGGAGGGGAGGAGTTACAACCCTTAACACGAAAGGGAGGGGAATTACAACCCTTAACACGAAAGGGAGGGGAATTACAACCCTTAACACGAAAGGGAGGGGGATTACAACCCTTAACACGAAAGGGAGGGGGATTACAACCCTTAACACGAAAGGGAGGGGAATTACAACCCTTAACACGAAAGGGAGGGGAGACGAAATCTCTTAACACGAAAGAGAATCGTAAGAAAAGAATGAGAGGTAGAGGCAAAACATCACTTAACACGAAAGAGAATAATCGGCTGGAATTGATGAAAAGGCCAATTAAAACCCTTAAGAGAGAAGTAGGTGGTCGACCCTTAAAATAAAAGAGGAATCGTCACTAAAAAATAAGGCGGTACATCCCTTAAAACAAAAGGGGAACCATCGCCCAAAAAGGAGAGAAAGGTGGCACGTTCCTTAACACGAAAGGGGTATCATCACCAAAAACTAAGAAGGCGGTACATCCCTAAACGCAAAAGGGGAATCATCGCCGTAAAATAACAATAACACAACCAAAAAGAAATCAATACACAAAAAAATTACGTTGGGTTGAGTGTTTAATTATGGAAATAATTAGTCAAAAAATTATTTAAAAAATTTAACGATATAGACTAATCAAAGGTAAGACCACGAGCTACGACATTATGAATGAGGACATTACCTTCGTCGTCTTTGGGTTTATTCGGGGCGAAGACTTTTATAAATTTACTATTTGTAGCACGCGATAATGCAGTATATAGTTGTCCATGAGCAAATGGCTCGTCTGTCAGATCAATTCCAAGTCTTTCGCAAGTTTGACCTTGAGCCTTAGTTATGGTCATGGCAAAAGCTTCACGAACGGGGAATTGAAAACGTTCAAAACTAACACCGTCTGGACTTTCATCAATATAGGAATTACAGACACGAGAAATTCCAATTGTCATACCATTATTTGAACCACTAATGGTTTCAGCTGAAATTAAATTCGTTTGAAGTTTTTTGACTATAAGACGGGTACCATTACATAATGATTTGCTTGTATTCAGATTTCTAAGAAGTACGATAATTGAACCTACTTTAAGATGTATATGGTGGGCTGGCAAACCACCTGGGGTAAGTTTATTAAGCGCTGCTACGTCAGAGTCAGCAACATAAGGAGAAAGTGGATTTTCATTAGTGCACTTATCAATTGAATAATAGTCAATAGATTCAGTATCAAAGGAAGACAGAACTAAAGAATTATTTAGATCAACAGATCTATTTAAAGGGGCGAGCATAAGTCTCTTAAGCATATCGGAACTTGGAATGTCAAAGCCTTTATCAAAAACAAATTCTATTAATTCTTCTTTTGTTTCAACAATCATAGACTTTGGGATGACTATTTTTACACCGGATGTATCTGTTCCGAGTCTATATAGCCACTCTTTGAACTGTACTTCAGAGGACTGGAGACGCATATTCTGTGTAAGACGAGTCTTATTAAACAGAGGATAAAGATGCGAGCTTTGAAGGGAAACTGCCACCTGTGCTTCGGGTGAAGGGGAATTTTTTACAACAGGAAGCGATTGTTTCCAATCACCGGAAATGATAACAACCTTTCCTGCAAAAGGTAAATTCCTATTTTGAGGAACCATAGTGCGACAGAGTTTATCGACATTCTCAATCACTGTTTTTTCAATCATTGTAATCTCATCGATAATTATAAGGTTACTTTCAATTATTCGGCGACCAAAATAGCTTCCAAAAGGAATACTTGGAATTTTGCCTATCTCATGAGTAATGCCAAATCTAAATGCAGAATGTAGGGTCATTCCGCCTGCATAAAATTTAGTAGCTGCAATACCTGTTGAAGCTGTTGCAAGGATTTTATTTCCTAAGCGACGTAAATTAAATAAAATAAAATTCAATAAAAACGTTTTTCCGGTTCCTCCGTCACCGGAGAGAAAGAACAAACGCTGTTTAGAGTTTGGATTCATGACTGCATCGAGGACTAATTTATAGAAATTATTTTGTTCTGTATTTAACTTTGCACTTTCAAAGAACGAATTATCAACTGTCTCATCTACATCATCATCATATACATCTTGGGGAAAGAAAAATTCGTCAACAGCCTTATTGGGGTCATCAGATAAAGAATTTGTAGGTAGGGGAAGATGATAATCTTTCATTTGCTTGCCATTTGCAAAAAGATATCTTTCAATAATAGCTAATGCTCTGTCAATACGACCTGGTTTTTGTGCGTCTGTGCATCTTTTATCATACATATTGTCTTTAAACATTTCCCATAACTGTTTAGAATCAATTATACAGTCTTGTGTAGAGCCGTGGAGAAGAATATTAACAAATAGCTGACGCATTTGTGAAGGCATAAGGGAGGTAGAAGCATCACTTAGAGTTCGTTGCCATATAGCATTATCTTCAAAAAGACCACGCAGACGAGCTGCATCTGCAAATGTATCACAAATAGTTCCATTAACATTTTTAAGATGATCTGGATCACCAGGGAAATGTCTCATAAGGACATAAAGAGCGAATTTTTCATTTTCTCTAGGTGAAACTGGATAAATTCTACCGAAAACTGGTTTACGATCTTGTATTCTTCGTTCATTAGTGGAAAGATTCCTTTTTTTCCAGGTCTTAAATTTGGGATCGATTGAGTATGTTTCAGGCATATTTTCAAAAAGAATATGTTGAACTGACTGGTCTGTTCTCCATAACTTCCAGTATGAAGTTAGGGGTGTTTCAGGGAGCACACCTTTTGTCACAGGTTTTAATTTAATTTTTTTGGATTCAGGAGGAAAAACAATTTTTTGCAAACCCGGCAAATGAATAGAGAGTGGAATTACAGTATGAGAAAGATACGCATATCTATTGCCTTGGATTCTACAATAAGCTTCTGATGGACTTCTATAAAGCATTTTTGCATATTGTGCAGGTTCGTCAATTGAAATTTTGTTACTATCAGCGCATTTAATATAAGAAAAGCTTGGACCTTTGAAAGGGTATTTTAAAGCATATTTTAAATTATCTGATTGACCGTAACAAAATTCTAAATTATGGTGGGATTGGAACATGACCATAATTAAAGGATTATAAGGTACTACATGTCGATTATCGTACTCAATTTCGATGGAGTCGCGCGTAATCTTTAATATCTCTCCGCCATCTTTAGGACTTGGGCGTTTATATTCTGCAGGCTTATCGTCATGTAAAATAGTTTGTCGGCTATAAGGCTTGGGAAAACCTTTCATACAACGTCCATTTGTTCCTCTACAATGATCAGAACAATCATGAAGCTGGAACTTTGGTAGCAGTTCGCGAACCTTTCTAATAAAATTGGCCCAATCTGATTTGTCTGAAGCATTTGGTTCCGGAGGAATATGAGCCCATATTAGATTTTCAATATTTTCAGCTGTAGCTTCTCTATCAATAGTGAAGACTCTATGAAGATGCGGACCTCCTATTCTTTTTTGAAATTCCATGCTTTCAGCATATCCGAGGATTTTACCAAAAATATGCTTTTTATCAAGAAGGTTGTGGAGTTTTTTCATTTTGTCGGTGTATATACGACAGATAACATCGAAACGGTCAACTAATTTCTGGCCTTTATGCAAGAAATTTTTGGAAATTTCTGGCCATCGCGGGTTGGTGGTAAATGTTAACATAAATGATGCACAATTTGGCTTGCGAGTTCGTGCCATGATGGTTGTGGCATCATAAAACATGTCCTGAAAATAGGGTCGAGTTCCAGGATTATGTTTTCTAAACAAAACTACACTCGTAATATCTTCGACATTATCAATATTTCCTCCTTTAGCAATATGTTTGAGAAAGTCTGGTGCTACAGTTGAACGCAAATTTAATTGGGGCTTGCGTAAATAATTGGCAACATCAGCATCGATTCTTGCTGCATAATCAAGAGTTATTTTTTGGCTGAGGCCTCCGCCTGCTGACCATATATTATGGCAAATATCATTCTTACGGAGCGCAAGCCGATAACGAATATAATCTCTTTTAGAAATAGTTGGTTCATTCTCAGGGGCATCATTAATTTCATCGTCAGAAGGAGGAATGTCTTCGTCAGATAACTCGTCATTATTATTTTTTGATTGATTATTATTTTTTGATTTGTCAGTCATAATCCTATAAGGAATATTGTTATGCCAACCATCATCTCCATGAGGAAAAAGTAAAGGATAAAAAATGGTATCGGTCAAGGGGTTATGTGGTTTGACTTCAAAGAGTGAACCTTTTAGATCAGTGATAAAAACTCCCTTAACTTGTGGTGGTTCATCGGACTCTGTCCAAACGGAAAACAGTGATTTTTCATAAGGAAGATTAACTTGACGCGGGTGTGCGCTTTTATCCTTAATTGGGTCAGGAACAGAGCGTTCCTCTAAAATTGTAAATCGAAATTTCCTGACGGCATCAGGTCCGTCTCTTTTGAGAATAGTTTGGTATTGTGAATGGAAATTTTTATACTCTAAAGCAAATGGGTGAATAGCCCGTAAAAGGGCATCTAACTTCTTTAGGGTTTGAGGGTTTACTCTATCACCGCCATATTTAGAATCATTTTTACGTAATTCAAGAGCATCATTAGCATCTAATATATATAACTGGGAAAAGGATGGGGTTAAGTTTCCTGAAAACATAGAACTTATGCGTCTTACAAATTCACCATTTAACAAAAAGCTTGTGGCTCCATATAAAGAGGAGTCTTTATGGCCGACAGAAATTGATCCAAAGGCTAGTAAGGAATTATAAACATTTTCATTGGCGAGAAATTCTTTAGAGATCTTTGTATCTCCTTTTAAGAGATCTTTCAAAATCTGTGGATGTTCGTTGTATGGAGGAAGAGTTACTTTTCCACAACGACAACAATGCGAGGAAGAGACAACTTTAAATTTATATTTGTGGTTTAAATTAACTTCGGACTCCAACAACAATGCCTTGCAATAATAACAAACAGCGGAGGATCCAAAAGTGCCAGAGTCATAATACTCTGCTGTGTGATTAGCTCTAACATCAGCACATGGGAATTCTTTATGACGCAGAGTACAACGGTTTCTAATAGGATTCTTTAAAATACAAGAAGGCATATCTTGCATTATTGGTGATGGAATGATAGAAGATCGATTTCTAATTCGTTCTGAACGACGAATTGGCGGATCTGGGGCTAAAAACAAAACAGGTTGTTCATTAACAATAACACCTTCGTCTGGCATAATATGCTCAGTTATATTTTTAGGTCTATCTGCACCTCTTTCAGCTTGTTCTTCAGGACATTCTTTCCCGCGAGAACTACAAAAAGTTAAACTAACAGAAGAATCCGAGTCACTCTCATGAAAGAGGACTGCATTATCTTCAACAAAATTTTCACTTATATAATTATTATAGGAAGCATTATCGGATGTAAAGTTGGAAATTTTTCGTGGTCTTCCACATTTACGAATATTTTTTGGACGACCTACACCACGAGAACTACGATATGATATAATCGAACAATTATCGGAATCATCATCAACAGAACATATATTAGAATCCTCAAGACGTGGAATTTTATTAATAGTTTGGAGGGAAATACTACCACTACGAACCAAAGCTCTAGAAGAAGAAAATGAGGAAGAAGGACCAACACCCATAGAAGACACACTCGACCCTAATGAGGAAGAAGGACCAACACCCATAGAAGACACACTCAACCCTAATTGCGAAACATTAAAAACATTACCAGAGGATCCCGCGTGTCCAAAGTCCTAAAATTTAAAGTTATTATACATAGCTATTAGATTTATCAAATGTAGGAATTGTTCCAAGATAAGTAATAAAGAAATAAAAAAATACCCAGAAACAGGCATGGAATAACTACTGAACTTATGAAAATTTTATGTAATTTATTTAGAAAATTACCCATATAGATATAATTAAATAAACCCCGAACCTCAATTTAATATCACAGAAATCTATAATCCGCAAATAAAGGAAAAAGGAAATTTACTCCTTTTATTGAAGGCACTTCTATACAAATTTTTCTGTAATTAGTAGTGGTCAGATTTCTAGGGTACAAAAAACCGGATCCTTATTAAATTAATATTACGATCTTTGGGATTATAAATTGAGGTTCGACTTTTTATACAAATATATACCGGAACATCTTCGTTGCACAATTGAATCGCAGTTGGATCAGGAGTTACCTGATAGTCCTGAGAAGGACTCTTAGATTCAAAAGCACTTCGTGGTTGCTCCTTCCTTTTTTCACGTCTTTTTCGATCTTTATATGGCATTTTTTAAATTTTTAGAAAATTATAAAATTTTATCTATGAATTTATAAAAAATTAAAAAATTTATTTAAAAAATTTAAAAACGTAAGAGGGAAGTGACTTGAACTCAGAATTTAAAAAAAATCAGAATTTCTAAAAATCAGAATTTTTTAAAAAAAGAATTTAAAACACCTTATTTTTAAAACACCTTATGCATTATCTTACAAATATTTAAAAAATAATCAGGGTTAGAAAAAACAAAAAAATAAATTAGATTATTTTTTATTTTGGAAGGCCAAGGAAGCAATAAAACGTTAAGAGATTTTTAAATAAGTTGGGGTTGTTTTGGAACACGAAATGTAATTTGCTTGTTTAGTTATGCAGACAAGTCGGTGAAAGATTCAATTAATAAAAAATTTTGGCTGTAGTATAGTATACCGGTGGAAAGGTTTCAATACAAAACCTGAGAACCGAGATCTAGATCCCCGAAAATCGGAAAACCATAGGGGGGAGTAAGCAAAATTTTGGGGCCAAAAATTCTATTTTTGGAATGATAACTCATTCGAAAGAGCCAAGATAAAGAGGTTCAAAATAATCAAAGTAAACCTATGGAGCGTCAGCGAGGCGCTTGTGCAAAACCCCGCGCTTCGCGCGGGGTTTTGCGGCACGCGCCTCGCAGGGAGTCTAAGGTCGCTGGGTTCTGGGCTCGTAACATTATCCTATTCCTATCAACGATGAGGTGGGCATGCCGGCTTCCTCCGCAGAAGCAAAAACCTGCACGGAGGCCATAGGTAAGGAGCTAAAACAAACACGGCATTACTTTGTCAAATCATGTCGGAGTTCGTTAATTTTTATTTCATTCGACTCAGTTCGACGAGCTCTTTCGAATGAGATAACATTTGTTTATTCGAATTTTTTATCCATAATTTGCCCCTGCATTTCTTTTATTTTTATAGACCTTTGTCTCGGTTCGATCAAATCAGATTTAGTTGATCTTAGTGTCATTCGACTCAGCATGAGCAGCTTTTCGAATGAGCTAACAATCAAAAAATCGAATTTTTTACCCCAAAATTGAGCTTACTCTACCCTATGTTTTTCGATCTACTGGACCTATTTCTCGGTCAACGGGGATTTCCTGTAAAAATGAGTGGTACTTTTTGACTCAGCTCGACCGAAGATAAATCAAATGGTATAGATCTTGTATTGACTTTTACACCGGTATACCGGTGTACCTTTCCACCGGTATATTATACTACAGCCAAAATTATAGAAAGGAACTAAATTTTAAAAATAATTCTTAGAAAATAGAAACAATAAAAAAAATTTAGAGGTTCATTTTTTTTTAAAAGTAAACTGGATGGTAAAAATTCAATAACTAAAAAAATTACTAATAAAATAATGTGTAGTTTTTTTGAAAAAATATTTTGGAAGGCAAAAAAGGATTAGGGTAGAAGTAAAGTTTTAAAGTAACAAATGATAGGAAAAACAAAACTGCAAAAATAAGAACAAAGAAATTTGTTGAGGGAATAATTTAACAGAGGTTAAATAAAATGAATGAATTACGTAATCATGGACAACAAATTTACGAACCATGCCAAAACACTAAACATACACAATAAGGTCTTACCAAATCACGGAATGGCCAAATCATGGAACTATCAAAACAGGTCAAACAAAGAAATCGTAATTTGATAGGTACAGAAAAAATGTTTGGTTCGACGTAAAAACTAAAAAACAATTAGAAAAAGATTTTTCTTTTTTTTCCTAATCTTTTTTACGGCTTCTTGGACTTCCAAATTTGAATGCCAAATATAAAAAATGCTAAAGAAATTGAGGGTAAAAGAAAAGGATAAATTTTTAGGTGAAAACATTTAAAAATATACAAATATTACTAAAAAGGATTAAAAAAGAAAATTGTGCCGGGAGAAAATCAAATAAAGAGCAAAAAATAAGAAAAGATTCAAATTTTTCTTCCCTTAACTTTTTTTCGCTTTTTTCTTCCCTCAAACTTTGCTTCAAGTTTGAGGGAAGATTCGATATTTTGGGTAATTCGTCATTTTGGGTGTCGATATTTTGGGTCATTCGATATTTTTGGTGCAATATTTAGGGTGTCGATATTCTGGGGTGATCCCTTTCACCCATCAACCAAAATTTCTCTCTCACCTATAAGATATGCCCTCAGGATTTCGTCATTTCCGAAAAATCGGAGATTTTACCGAAAGACCAATTTTGTGTCAGGCATATCGACCTTTAGACTTGACATTTCGACCTCGGGTTTTCTGGTTTCATCATCTCCAAATCAAGCTTCAACGCCCTCCCGGCGGAACTTTTTCTCTATCTTTATCCGTTCCGGAGATATCCTCGGTACCGACACGATTTAGGTACAAAGGAATAGAGGTACCCCAAAAGTCATAATTTTCCTTTATACTACATAAAATTTGACCCCGGACATGTCAAACTTTCAAGCCCGTATCTAAACTCTGGAAAGAGCTAGACTTTTTTCTAGCCAAGCAACTTTTTTTATAAATATATAGTAATAAATTTAAAACAATAAACATAAGAAAAATTTTGGGCTATGGCGAATACTTGGGTTTAAAAATAGTCTTAGTGATACCTAGAAATTTTGAAAAATTGTCAGAACATGCTCCAACATACAAAAATATCCTATACATTCGTGAAAGAAGAATGAGGGTTGTGCTATATCATGACTTTGACTATAGCTAAGCTTAATCTAATTTCATATATATTATATTAAGTAGGATTTGTTCAGATATTTTCACGACTCTTTTCAAACGCCTTTATTACTTTAAAATAGCTAAAATTCCTTTTATTTTAATTACCCCAGACCTTTTTTGACAAATCCCATTAAACCAAACACCAAACAATTTGTAAGAAAAAATTCCTTTGTTACTTTTAAATCATTTATGTCCAAATTCCCGTCAATAAATTTAAAACAAAAAAATAAACAATTATAAGAAAAAAATTTAGAAAACATCCAAATAAAATTTAAAAATCCTTTCTCTTAGAGAGATAGATATAGAAGAGAGATCCCAAAAAGGTATTTTTTACTAGCCCTTAAAGAAGTTGAATATCATCATCGTCATCCTCTTCTTCTTCTTTCATTCCCCCATCGTCTTCTTCATCCACTTTCATTTCTCCTTCATTTTCTCCAAAACTTTTCATTGTCTCGCTTTCCTAATTAAAAAAATTTTTTACAAAGAAAAAAATTTAATTTCCCCTACTTGTTGTTCCTCAGGCTGTTCTTCTTCAAACATTTTTCGTTGTTTACGAGGAGGTCCATCAATTTCAAAATTATGTCCCATATTATCCTCCCCAACTTCTTCAACATCAACTTCCTCATCTTCTACTTCTTCATCTCCAACTTCAAATTCATCATCACCAATTTCCCCTCCTTCCTCGTCAAAAATTTCTTGTTCCTCATCCTCAACAATTTCATCAACATCATCACAATCACCTCCTACCTCTGCTTCTTCTCCCTCTCCTTTTTCTTCATAAAATCCAGCTTCTTCTTCTTGCTTATTTCCATCATACGAAACTGGAATATTCTCTCCAGAACTAAGTTCATTCAATCCATCAGTTCCTGTTTGAATAGGAAATTCAGCAGAAGCAAAATCTTGTGCCTTCTCTAATAATTGTTGTTCAATTTGTTGTTGTTGTTCAACAGGAGGAGGTTTGACAGGAGGATCTGCTGAGGAAGCCGGTTCAGTAGCCGCTGCAACAGGAATGTCGTCAATGTCAATTATTCCTTCACCAATTTCACTTGCCTCTTAAAAATAATTTTTGTTTAAAATTTTTATAAAATATTCAAAGATTAGTCCAGTCAGACTTACATTAAATACAAAATACACCCAATACACGGATAACCCTTTCAATTTAAAATTCGTAACTGTTAAATTTGGCTAACAACTGGGCAGAAATGATAAACTGGTAGTTGTAACCAGGAAATACTTAAACAATGCCCACTATTTAAAGCATACCTTATTATTAGAGGTATGCTTTAAAAAAAAAAGCGCAGCTAGAGATTTTAAATGCCATGTTAAAATTTTCTAAAATTTTTATATCTAATTTTTAAGTTAAGTATTTAAATATTTATTTAATTTTATATTTAACTTTCTAAAAAATTTTAATTTACTATATTCTAAAAAATTTTTGTTTTTTATTTAAAAAATTTTAACTCCCGTTTGTACCGTGCTTAGCCATAGTTTTACAAAAGTAAAACAATGCCCAGAGTACACCACGTGGAGGTGCACGGTGGTAAACGGGCAAACCCTGTACTCCTGGGGAGGGGGGACGGAGAAGAGGTTGGATAGTAGCATGTGTGGACATTGGCTTTATTTTATATTTAAAAGTAATTTACAACCTTTAACATGAAAGGAAAGGGAATTACAACCCTTAACACGAAAGGGAGGGGAATTACAACCCTTAACACGAAAGGGAGGGGAATTACAACCCTTAACACGAAAGGGAGGGGAATTACAACCCTTAACACGAAAGGGAGGGGGATTACAACCCTTAACACGAAAGGGAGTGGAGGAGTTACAACCCTTAACACGAAAGGGAGGGGAATTACAACCCTTAACACGAAAGGGAGGGGAATTACAACCCTTAACACGAAAGGGAGGGGAATTACAACCCTTAACACGAAAGGGAGGGGGATTACAACCCTTAACACGAAAGGGAGGGGAGGAGTTACAACCCTTAACACGAAAGGGAGGGGAATTACAACCCTTAACACGAAAGGGAGGGGAATTACAACCCTTAACACGAAAGGGAGGGGGATTACAACCCTTAACACGAAAGGGAGGGGGATTACAACCCTTAACACGAAAGGGAGGGGAATTACAACCCTTAACACGAAAGGGAGGGGAGACGAAATCTCTTAACACGAAAGAGAATCGTAAGAAAAGAATGAGAGGTAGAGGCAAAACATCACTTAACACGAAAGAGAATAATCGGCTGGAATTGATGAAAAGGCCAATTAAAACCCTTAAGAGAGAAGTAGGTGGTCGACCCTTAAAATAAAAGAGGAATCGTCACTAAAAAATAAGGCGGTACATCCCTTAAAACAAAAGGGGAACCATCGCCCAAAAAGGAGAGAAAGGTGGCACGTTCCTTAACACGAAAGGGGTATCATCACCAAAAACTAAGAAGGCGGTACATCCCTAAACGCAAAAGGGGAATCATCGCCGTAAAATAACAATAACACAACCAAAAAGAAATCAATACACAAAAAAATTACGTTGGGTTGAGTGTTTAATTATGGAAATAATTAGTCAAAAAATTATTTAAAAAATTTAACGATATAGACTAATCAAAGGTAAGACCACGAGCTACGACATTATGAATGAGGACATTACCTTCGTCGTCTTTGGGTTTATTCGGGGCGAAGACTTTTATAAATTTACTATTTGTAGCACGCGATAATGCAGTATATAGTTGTCCATGAGCAAATGGCTCGTCTGTCAGATCAATTCCAAGTCTTTCGCAAGTTTGACCTTGAGCCTTAGTTATGGTCATGGCAAAAGCTTCACGAACGGGGAATTGAAAACGTTCAAAACTAACACCGTCTGGACTTTCATCAATATAGGAATTACAGACACGAGAAATTCCAATTGTCATACCATTATTTGAACCACTAATGGTTTCAGCTGAAATTAAATTCGTTTGAAGTTTTTTGACTATAAGACGGGTACCATTACATAATGATTTGCTTGTATTCAGATTTCTAAGAAGTACGATAATTGAACCTACTTTAAGATGTATATGGTGGGCTGGCAAACCACCTGGGGTAAGTTTATTAAGCGCTGCTACGTCAGAGTCAGCAACATAAGGAGAAAGTGGATTTTCATTAGTGCACTTATCAATTGAATAATAGTCAATAGATTCAGTATCAAAGGAAGACAGAACTAAAGAATTATTTAGATCAACAGATCTATTTAAAGGGGCGAGCATAAGTCTCTTAAGCATATCGGAACTTGGAATGTCAAAGCCTTTATCAAAAACAAATTCTATTAATTCTTCTTTTGTTTCAACAATCATAGACTTTGGGATGACTATTTTTACACCGGATGTATCTGTTCCGAGTCTATATAGCCACTCTTTGAACTGTACTTCAGAGGACTGGAGACGCATATTCTGTGTAAGACGAGTCTTATTAAACAGAGGATAAAGATGCGAGCTTTGAAGGGAAACTGCCACCTGTGCTTCGGGTGAAGGGGAATTTTTTACAACAGGAAGCGATTGTTTCCAATCACCGGAAATGATAACAACCTTTCCTGCAAAAGGTAAATTCCTATTTTGAGGAACCATAGTGCGACAGAGTTTATCGACATTCTCAATCACTGTTTTTTCAATCATTGTAATCTCATCGATAATTATAAGGTTACTTTCAATTATTCGGCGACCAAAATAGCTTCCAAAAGGAATACTTGGAATTTTGCCTATCTCATGAGTAATGCCAAATCTAAATGCAGAATGTAGGGTCATTCCGCCTGCATAAAATTTAGTAGCTGCAATACCTGTTGAAGCTGTTGCAAGGATTTTATTTCCTAAGCGACGTAAATTAAATAAAATAAAATTCAATAAAAACGTTTTTCCGGTTCCTCCGTCACCGGAGAGAAAGAACAAACGCTGTTTAGAGTTTGGATTCATGACTGCATCGAGGACTAATTTATAGAAATTATTTTGTTCTGTATTTAACTTTGCACTTTCAAAGAACGAATTATCAACTGTCTCATCTACATCATCATCATATACATCTTGGGGAAAGAAAAATTCGTCAACAGCCTTATTGGGGTCATCAGATAAAGAATTTGTAGGTAGGGGAAGATGATAATCTTTCATTTGCTTGCCATTTGCAAAAAGATATCTTTCAATAATAGCTAATGCTCTGTCAATACGACCTGGTTTTTGTGCGTCTGTGCATCTTTTATCATACATATTGTCTTTAAACATTTCCCATAACTGTTTAGAATCAATTATACAGTCTTGTGTAGAGCCGTGGAGAAGAATATTAACAAATAGCTGACGCATTTGTGAAGGCATAAGGGAGGTAGAAGCATCACTTAGAGTTCGTTGCCATATAGCATTATCTTCAAAAAGACCACGCAGACGAGCTGCATCTGCAAATGTATCACAAATAGTTCCATTAACATTTTTAAGATGATCTGGATCACCAGGGAAATGTCTCATAAGGACATAAAGAGCGAATTTTTCATTTTCTCTAGGTGAAACTGGATAAATTCTACCGAAAACTGGTTTACGATCTTGTATTCTTCGTTCATTAGTGGAAAGATTCCTTTTTTTCCAGGTCTTAAATTTGGGATCGATTGAGTATGTTTCAGGCATATTTTCAAAAAGAATATGTTGAACTGACTGGTCTGTTCTCCATAACTTCCAGTATGAAGTTAGGGGTGTTTCAGGGAGCACACCTTTTGTCACAGGTTTTAATTTAATTTTTTTGGATTCAGGAGGAAAAACAATTTTTTGCAAACCCGGCAAATGAATAGAGAGTGGAATTACAGTATGAGAAAGATACGCATATCTATTGCCTTGGATTCTACAATAAGCTTCTGATGGACTTCTATAAAGCATTTTTGCATATTGTGCAGGTTCGTCAATTGAAATTTTGTTACTATCAGCGCATTTAATATAAGAAAAGCTTGGACCTTTGAAAGGGTATTTTAAAGCATATTTTAAATTATCTGATTGACCGTAACAAAATTCTAAATTATGGTGGGATTGGAACATGACCATAATTAAAGGATTATAAGGTACTACATGTCGATTATCGTACTCAATTTCGATGGAGTCGCGCGTAATCTTTAATATCTCTCCGCCATCTTTAGGACTTGGGCGTTTATATTCTGCAGGCTTATCGTCATGTAAAATAGTTTGTCGGCTATAAGGCTTGGGAAAACCTTTCATACAACGTCCATTTGTTCCTCTACAATGATCAGAACAATCATGAAGCTGGAACTTTGGTAGCAGTTCGCGAACCTTTCTAATAAAATTGGCCCAATCTGATTTGTCTGAAGCATTTGGTTCCGGAGGAATATGAGCCCATATTAGATTTTCAATATTTTCAGCTGTAGCTTCTCTATCAATAGTGAAGACTCTATGAAGATGCGGACCTCCTATTCTTTTTTGAAATTCCATGCTTTCAGCATATCCGAGGATTTTACCAAAAATATGCTTTTTATCAAGAAGGTTGTGGAGTTTTTTCATTTTGTCGGTGTATATACGACAGATAACATCGAAACGGTCAACTAATTTCTGGCCTTTATGCAAGAAATTTTTGGAAATTTCTGGCCATCGCGGGTTGGTGGTAAATGTTAACATAAATGATGCACAATTTGGCTTGCGAGTTCGTGCCATGATGGTTGTGGCATCATAAAACATGTCCTGAAAATAGGGTCGAGTTCCAGGATTATGTTTTCTAAACAAAACTACACTCGTAATATCTTCGACATTATCAATATTTCCTCCTTTAGCAATATGTTTGAGAAAGTCTGGTGCTACAGTTGAACGCAAATTTAATTGGGGCTTGCGTAAATAATTGGCAACATCAGCATCGATTCTTGCTGCATAATCAAGAGTTATTTTTTGGCTGAGGCCTCCGCCTGCTGACCATATATTATGGCAAATATCATTCTTACGGAGCGCAAGCCGATAACGAATATAATCTCTTTTAGAAATAGTTGGTTCATTCTCAGGGGCATCATTAATTTCATCGTCAGAAGGAGGAATGTCTTCGTCAGATAACTCGTCATTATTATTTTTTGATTGATTATTATTTTTTGATTTGTCAGTCATAATCCTATAAGGAATATTGTTATGCCAACCATCATCTCCATGAGGAAAAAGTAAAGGATAAAAAATGGTATCGGTCAAGGGGTTATGTGGTTTGACTTCAAAGAGTGAACCTTTTAGATCAGTGATAAAAACTCCCTTAACTTGTGGTGGTTCATCGGACTCTGTCCAAACGGAAAACAGTGATTTTTCATAAGGAAGATTAACTTGACGCGGGTGTGCGCTTTTATCCTTAATTGGGTCAGGAACAGAGCGTTCCTCTAAAATTGTAAATCGAAATTTCCTGACGGCATCAGGTCCGTCTCTTTTGAGAATAGTTTGGTATTGTGAATGGAAATTTTTATACTCTAAAGCAAATGGGTGAATAGCCCGTAAAAGGGCATCTAACTTCTTTAGGGTTTGAGGGTTTACTCTATCACCGCCATATTTAGAATCATTTTTACGTAATTCAAGAGCATCATTAGCATCTAATATATATAACTGGGAAAAGGATGGGGTTAAGTTTCCTGAAAACATAGAACTTATGCGTCTTACAAATTCACCATTTAACAAAAAGCTTGTGGCTCCATATAAAGAGGAGTCTTTATGGCCGACAGAAATTGATCCAAAGGCTAGTAAGGAATTATAAACATTTTCATTGGCGAGAAATTCTTTAGAGATCTTTGTATCTCCTTTTAAGAGATCTTTCAAAATCTGTGGATGTTCGTTGTATGGAGGAAGAGTTACTTTTCCACAACGACAACAATGCGAGGAAGAGACAACTTTAAATTTATATTTGTGGTTTAAATTAACTTCGGACTCCAACAACAATGCCTTGCAATAATAACAAACAGCGGAGGATCCAAAAGTGCCAGAGTCATAATACTCTGCTGTGTGATTAGCTCTAACATCAGCACATGGGAATTCTTTATGACGCAGAGTACAACGGTTTCTAATAGGATTCTTTAAAATACAAGAAGGCATATCTTGCATTATTGGTGATGGAATGATAGAAGATCGATTTCTAATTCGTTCTGAACGACGAATTGGCGGATCTGGGGCTAAAAACAAAACAGGTTGTTCATTAACAATAACACCTTCGTCTGGCATAATATGCTCAGTTATATTTTTAGGTCTATCTGCACCTCTTTCAGCTTGTTCTTCAGGACATTCTTTCCCGCGAGAACTACAAAAAGTTAAACTAACAGAAGAATCCGAGTCACTCTCATGAAAGAGGACTGCATTATCTTCAACAAAATTTTCACTTATATAATTATTATAGGAAGCATTATCGGATGTAAAGTTGGAAATTTTTCGTGGTCTTCCACATTTACGAATATTTTTTGGACGACCTACACCACGAGAACTACGATATGATATAATCGAACAATTATCGGAATCATCATCAACAGAACATATATTAGAATCCTCAAGACGTGGAATTTTATTAATAGTTTGGAGGGAAATACTACCACTACGAACCAAAGCTCTAGAAGAAGAAAATGAGGAAGAAGGACCAACACCCATAGAAGACACACTCGACCCTAATGAGGAAGAAGGACCAACACCCATAGAAGACACACTCAACCCTAATTGCGAAACATTAAAAACATTACCAGAGGATCCCGCGTGTCCAAAGTCCTAAAATTTAAAGTTATTATACATAGCTATTAGATTTATCAAATGTAGGAATTGTTCCAAGATAAGTAATAAAGAAATAAAAAAATACCCAGAAACAGGCATGGAATAACTACTGAACTTATGAAAATTTTATGTAATTTATTTAGAAAATTACCCATATAGATATAATTAAATAAACCCCGAACCTCAATTTAATATCACAGAAATCTATAATCCGCAAATAAAGGAAAAAGGAAATTTACTCCTTTTATTGAAGGCACTTCTATACAAATTTTTCTGTAATTAGTAGTGGTCAGATTTCTAGGGTACAAAAAACCGGATCCTTATTAAATTAATATTACGATCTTTGGGATTATAAATTGAGGTTCGACTTTTTATACAAATATATACCGGAACATCTTCGTTGCACAATTGAATCGCAGTTGGATCAGGAGTTACCTGATAGTCCTGAGAAGGACTCTTAGATTCAAAAGCACTTCGTGGTTGCTCCTTCCTTTTTTCACGTCTTTTTCGATCTTTATATGGCATTTTTTAAATTTTTAGAAAATTATAAAATTTTATCTATGAATTTATAAAAAATTAAAAAATTTATTTAAAAAATTTAAAAACGTAAGAGGGAAGTGACTTGAACTCAGAATTTAAAAAAAATCAGAATTTCTAAAAATCAGAATTTTTTAAAAAAAGAATTTAAAACACCTTATTTTTAAAACACCTTATGCATTATCTTACAAATATTTAAAAAATAATCAGGGTTAGAAAAAACAAAAAAATAAATTAGATTATTTTTTATTTTGGAAGGCCAAGGAAGCAATAAAACGTTAAGAGATTTTTAAATAAGTTGGGGTTGTTTTGGAACACGAAATGTAATTTGCTTGTTTAGTTATGCAGACAAGTCGGTGAAAGATTCAATTAATAAAAAATTTTGGCTGTAGTATAGTATACCGGTGGAAAGGTTTCAATACAAAACCTGAGAACCGAGATCTAGATCCCCGAAAATCGGAAAACCATAGGGGGGAGTAAGCAAAATTTTGGGGCCAAAAATTCTATTTTTGGAATGATAACTCATTCGAAAGAGCCAAGATAAAGAGGTTCAAAATAATCAAAGTAAACCTATGGAGCGTCAGCGAGGCGCTTGTGCAAAACCCCGCGCTTCGCGCGGGGTTTTGCGGCACGCGCCTCGCAGGGAGTCTAAGGTCGCTGGGTTCTGGGCTCGTAACATTATCCTATTCCTATCAACGATGAGGTGGGCATGCCGGCTTCCTCCGCAGAAGCAAAAACCTGCACGGAGGCCATAGGTAAGGAGCTAAAACAAACACGGCATTACTTTGTCAAATCATGTCGGAGTTCGTTAATTTTTATTTCATTCGACTCAGTTCGACGAGCTCTTTCGAATGAGATAACATTTGTTTATTCGAATTTTTTATCCATAATTTGCCCCTGCATTTCTTTTATTTTTATAGACCTTTGTCTCGGTTCGATCAAATCAGATTTAGTTGATCTTAGTGTCATTCGACTCAGCATGAGCAGCTTTTCGAATGAGCTAACAATCAAAAAATCGAATTTTTTACCCCAAAATTGAGCTTACTCTACCCTATGTTTTTCGATCTACTGGACCTATTTCTCGGTCAACGGGGATTTCCTGTAAAAATGAGTGGTACTTTTTGACTCAGCTCGACCGAAGATAAATCAAATGGTATAGATCTTGTATTGACTTTTACACCGGTATACCGGTGTACCTTTCCACCGGTATATTATACTACAGCCAAAATTATAGAAAGGAACTAAATTTTAAAAATAATTCTTAGAAAATAGAAACAATAAAAAAAATTTAGAGGTTCATTTTTTTTTAAAAGTAAACTGGATGGTAAAAATTCAATAACTAAAAAAATTACTAATAAAATAATGTGTAGTTTTTTTGAAAAAATATTTTGGAAGGCAAAAAAGGATTAGGGTAGAAGTAAAGTTTTAAAGTAACAAATGATAGGAAAAACAAAACTGCAAAAATAAGAACAAAGAAATTTGTTGAGGGAATAATTTAACAGAGGTTAAATAAAATGAATGAATTACGTAATCATGGACAACAAATTTACGAACCATGCCAAAACACTAAACATACACAATAAGGTCTTACCAAATCACGGAATGGCCAAATCATGGAACTATCAAAACAGGTCAAACAAAGAAATCGTAATTTGATAGGTACAGAAAAAATGTTTGGTTCGACGTAAAAACTAAAAAACAATTAGAAAAAGATTTTTCTTTTTTTTCCTAATCTTTTTTACGGCTTCTTGGACTTCCAAATTTGAATGCCAAATATAAAAAATGCTAAAGAAATTGAGGGTAAAAGAAAAGGATAAATTTTTAGGTGAAAACATTTAAAAATATACAAATATTACTAAAAAGGATTAAAAAAGAAAATTGTGCCGGGAGAAAATCAAATAAAGAGCAAAAAATAAGAAAAGATTCAAATTTTTCTTCCCTTAACTTTTTTTCGCTTTTTTCTTCCCTCAAACTTTGCTTCAAGTTTGAGGGAAGATTCGATATTTTGGGTAATTCGTCATTTTGGGTGTCGATATTTTGGGTCATCGATATTTTTGGTGCAATATTTAGGGTGTCGATATTCTGGGGTGATCCCTTTCACCCATCAATCAAAATTTCTCTCTCACCTATAAGATATGCCCTCAGGATTTCGTCATTTCCGAAAAATCGGAGATTTTACCGAAAGACCAATTTTGTGTCAGGCATATCGACCTTTAGACTTGACATTTCGACCTCGGGTTTTCTGGTTTCATCATCTCCAAATCAAGCTTCAACGCCCTCCCGGCGGAACTTTTTCTCTATCTTTATCCGTTCCGGAGATATCCTCGGTACCGACACGATTTAGGTACAAAGGAATAGAGGTACCCCAAAAGTCATAATTTTCCTTTATACTACATAAAATTTGACCCCGGACATGTCAAACTTTCAAGCCCGTATCTAAACTCTGGAAAGAGCTAGACTTTTTTCTAGCCAAGCAACTTTTTTTATAAATATATAGTAAAAATTGTCCATTTCTTATTCTGCCTCATTACATTGGGTTGACATACTTTTTTTTCAAATATTATGGAGAAAGTACGCTTATCTTCCCAGTAAATATGTCTAGGTCATATTGCTAAAGGTAGATTCAATCTCCTATATTAAACTTAAAAACAGAAAATTTTCCTTTTTGAGCTTTATTTATTTAGCTTTACTTTTATTTTAGTAAATTCTTTCTTATGTTTTTTTATTTTTAAATTTCCAGAAAATTATTTTTTAAATGAATAAAAAAGAACAAAATCCATTAGGAGATTGGAGACTTCATTGGGGTGGCAATTATGGTAATATTAATAATTATTATTCAAATAAAACTGAAAATGAGTCAAATTCTTCTACAATTGCAGAAGATAAAGAAGAAGAAAGTTTAAAAGATTCTTGTGTTTCTTGCTGTTTATCACAAAATATAATTGAATCTTTGATGCAGCGTATAGAGAAATTGGAGGTTAACTAGTTAACAAAATTATTTAAAATATTTTTCATAAATTTATAATTAGAGATCGGTTTTTGGGTTGTTATAATTTTCTCTTCTTGAATCTGAAAATATTTATAGTCCAGGAGTAATGAACTTTAGTAAATCCTTGAACATCTCCGGATATCCGGATTAGAGGTTGTGGGATATTAATAAAAACATTTTTTCTCTTGCATCTTTTGAAAATTATCTCATGCACCTAGCCCTACCCGGATCAGAAATAAACTTTATATTGTTAACTTTGTGACTAGATGCGTCCAGAACTAAGATCACTCCGCCTAATACTTTACAATAAAAATTACAAATATTCAAAGTGCTGATAATGGAATAATATGACAATTGAAATTGCTTCTGCAATAATTGAGCAGGAATAACCAATAAAATTTGTCTGACCATTATACGCTTTTTGATATTTGTAAATTTTATTATAAAGCAAGTGGAACTTGTGGAGATAACCATATAGAAGATAATTTTCTCAATAACTAATTATCCATTTTATATTAGTATTTTAATCAAAAAAATTAAGAATGTTGTATGTGAATCTACCAAGGACAAAAAAGAAAAATTTAAAGATATTGAACAACAAAATAATGAAAATAAAGAGAAAACTGCAAATTTGGAAAAAATATCTAATCAAAAAGATATGAAAATAAATTTGTTGGAAAGTGAAATCAAAAAGGTAAGTAAAACCGTATTCCTCCTCTTGTGGCAAAAACTTCTTCAATTTTTCCTAAAATTTTCCCTTGTAGGAAAAGACGAATTTTGATTTGTAGGAGATTTCCAAGAGACTCAAAACAATAACTTTCAAAGATAATGGCAATAATTAGGGGTGTAAAGCGGCTGAACAATCCAAGAATGAGGATAATACGAGGTGTATAACTAGAGGATATTATTTTAACAGAAACATAAAGAATACCATATTCCTTTTCGTGTTTCTGACTATTATGCGCTTTTTGGTATTTGTAATCTATTAGAAATAGGGTTGTTTCGGGCCTCATTTTTTTCGGGCCGGACCGGTCGAGTCTTTTTCGGGCCAAAATTCGAGGCCCGGTTCTGTCTTTCGAACCGAACCGGGCCGGCAATCCTAATTAGAAAGCAAGGAGAAATTGTGGAGATAAGCATATATCCATAAATTTTTAGTTTTAAATTTTTTTATTTTTTAGCAAATAAGTGATTTACAAAGTAATCTTTATAAATATTTATTTGAATTTCAAAGTGAAATTAACCAACTAAAGAAAGATAGCGAGAATAATATAAAAATTATAAAACAAAAAAATAAAGAAAAATATCAACAATTAAAATCTGAAAATACAAACAAAATTTCTTATCTAGAAGAAATTATCCATCAAAAGGATGTAAAAATAACTTCATTAGAAAAAGATAATAA